GAAATGGCTTCCCGGAATGCTTCCATTGTGTAAGGTACTAACTCACTAGATGCGAGGCCACAGCCTACTAATGGCATAAATGTGTCTTTTAGCTGCTCATTCCAGAAGCATCTGTGTAACAGAAGTGTCAAGAATTGAAAGGAAGCGTGCGTGGTGGCTCACACCTGTAATCCCAGCATTTTGGGAGGCTGAGGTGGGAGGATTGCTTGAGCTCAAGAGTTCGAGACCAACCTGGGCAACATAGTGAAACCCCATTTCTACTAAAAACAAATTAAAAAAAAATTAGCCAGACTTGATGGCGTACCAGCTACCTGGGAGGGTAAGGCAGGAGGATCACTTCAGCTCAGGAGTTCAAGGCTGCAGTAAGCCATGAACATCCCACAGCTCTCCAGCCTGGCGATGAAGTGAGACCCTGTCTAAACAAACAAACAAACAAACCAACCAACCAACCAACCAACAAACCAACAAACAAAAAATTGAAAGGATTGAGGCAGAAGTTAGTCTGTGGAAACATTTTCCAAAACATAGTTAATATATGAACGAAACTTTATGAAAGTTTTCCTTTTTCTTTTCTTTTTTTTTTTTGAGATGGCATCTCACTCTGTTGCCCAGGCTGGCGTGCAGTGGCACGATCTTGGCTTACTGCAACCTCCGCCTCCCGAGTTCAAGCGATTCTCCTGCCTCAGTCTCCTGAGTAGCTGGGATTACAGGCGTTCGCCACTGCACCCAGCTAATTTTTTTGTATTTTTAGTAGAGACAGGGTTTCACCATGTTGGTCAGGCTGGTCTCGAACTCCTGACCTCGTGATTCACCCGCCGCGGCAAATCCCAAAGTGCTGGGATTACAGGCGTGAGCCACCGCGCCAGGTCAAAAGTTTTTTTAGATTTGCAAAAGATTTAGATAACATCACCAATACTGATTTGTGAAGCTGAAACTTGTTCTAAATGATAATGAATTTTTAAAAAGTTCCATCAACCACGCTAGAGGAAAGATAACTTACTTTTCTCTTTGTAGACAAGGATATTGTGAAACATGCAGCTGAAAAAGTAGGAAACGTCACACAGTTGTGTCAGGCAGAAAATTAATAAAAACATTACGTTATCCTTTGGGATTTTGCAATGTTTGTGGTATTTGGCTCTTTTAAATATGTAATTTGTTATTATTTCATATTCTAAGTAAACTTTCATATCATACAGTATTTTTTTTTTCTTTAAACTTTGTTTTCCTTTCTTAAAGAGGGCTCTCCTCCCCCATCCCCGCGCTCAGTTCCTTTAGCTGGATCCTTCCAGTTCATGACTGATTGGTTTAAAATATGGGTCGTTCAAAAGCCCTGTGATCCCGGGCTAGTGGCTGTACCCCTCTGAGACAGTTTTCTTAGTGGTAAAATGGAAATCATAACAACTCTGCAGGGCTAATTATAAAGTTTAAACAAGCCAAGGCCTGCAAAATGCTTAGTGCAGGTTTGGAATGCACCGAGCGATGACAAATCTCAACCTGTCTTTATGCTGAGACCACTCCCCAGTTTCCGGAGCCGCGGCCACTATCTCCCCAGGCGCGTGCACACCCGGCTCTCCCTTCCAGGCCCTCCCCACCACGTGGGCGCGGCCTACCCTCCCTTAGCGGGTAATAAGCGGAGCCAAGGGGCTGCTTCCGGGATTCTTTCCCTTCCACTCTGGGGAACAACCCTTTTGTATGACTGGCAGCATTGTTAACCAGTAGTGATTAGAGAAGAGCCCGACGGTAGGTGCTTCCCTCAAAATGGTTCGGAACTCCTCTTCCAAGTTAGCCAATTGGAAGCTTTGGAGGGCGGGTTCTCCTCTGGGGCGGGACAGAGTGACGGGTGTCTCTTTTGGCTAATGGAAACTTGGCTGCTTGTAAGCCATGACCAATCAGAAGCGAGAACGCAGGATCCTGGGGCGGGGCTGGAGCTTCGTCAGTTGAACCGCTCGCGAGGAGGGTTGCCAGTGGAGAAGGTGAGAGGCAGCCGGAGTGGCGGGTGCGCGGGCCGTGGTGGAGGTCTTGGGGGGAGGGGAGGGGGTTCTCTCTGGGGAGAGTGGCCTGCGGTGGGCAGCTGACCCGGCCTTGTCGGAATCAGGAGGGAGGGTGCCCTTTAACAAGGGTAGGTGCTTGATTGAGGTGTTGTAAGACTGAGCGCAGCGTGTGAGTTGGGGGTGATCTGTATATCGCAGGAGGGTCTTCAATGGGGAAAGTTGTAAAGCAGGAGACAGCAGATGGTAGAATATACAGATGCCCTTGAAATGCAGCGTGGCGATTTAGTAGGAGGTTTTAAGGCAGGGGGTCATTACAGCGCACTGTGATTTACAAGCTTTGATTTGGGTGAAAGTCGTGGGAAGAAGCAATATTGAGGAAGGGAGGGAAGGAGACCTCCAGGGATAAAGATGTACTTTAAAGAGATATGAAGCCCTATTATGCCTGTGGCGTTTACTACGTGCTGTGCACCTGCCAAGTGTTTTAGGTGAATTAACTCTTAAACTTACTCTACTGATGGTTAAAAGTGTGGGCTGTGGCGTCGGGTTGAATCCCGAATTTGAATCCTGGCTCTGCCGGCTTTGGGCGAGTTGTTTAACCCTTCTGTGCCTCAGCTTCATCATCGGTAGAATGACCTCATCTCTTTCTATACTATTGGCTAGCTTCACCCTCTTTATCTAATGAGAACTCCCAGCTGTGTATTTCCAGCCTGGATCTCTCCCCTGAACTCCAGACTCATATCGTGGCCGACTCTTCTCTATTTGGAAGTTCATCTGACATTCAGACATAAACTTGTCCCAAACCAAACTTGAGGTTTCTTCCTTTCAACCTCCAAACCCAGTTGATGGCACATTCATCCTGCCAGGTACTAAGATCAAGAAGCTTGGAGTGTTCTCTTTGTTTTGAGACAGAGTTTTGCTCTTGTTGCCCAGGCTGGAGTGCAATGGCGCTATCTCGGCTCACTGCAACCTCCGCCTCCCGGGTTCAAGGGAATTACAGGCGCCTGCCAATTGTTTGTATTTTTAGTAGAGAAGGGGTTTCACTAAGTTGGCCAGGCTGGTCTCGAACTCCTGACCTCAGGCGATCCACTCGCCTCAGCCTCCCGCAGTGTTGGGATTACAGTTGTGAGCCATGGTGCCCGCCTAGCTTGCAGTGTTCTTCATTCCTCCCTTTTGTCTCACTTATATATGGTCTAGCAGATCGCATTAGCTCTGTTTTCAAAACACATCCAGAATCCAACCACGCCTCACCAGCTCCTTTGCTACCACTCTGGCCTAAGTTGTCCCCTGCTCTTATCTGGTCTGTTGCAGTGGCCTTCCAGGTGGGCTCCCTGCCTCTCACTGTTAGGGGGATCCTAGTAGAACAGAAGTCAGGTCAGGTTGCTCCTCCTTTCAAATCCTGTCCTGGCTCCCACCTTACACCGCAGAAGTCTTCACCATATCCTTGAGGCCCCGACCTATTGGTTTCCTCCTCCTCCCTCCCCTCAACTCCCGTCACCTCTCTCAGTCCCCTGGCTCACTCTGCTGCAACCACCCTGGCCTCCTTGCTGTCCTTTGAACATAACGAACACATTGCCATCTCAGGGCCTTTGTACTCGCTGTCCCCGAACGCACTGCCACCTCAGGGCCTTTGTACTCGCTGTCCCCGAACGCACTGCCACCTCAGGGCCTTTGTACTCGCTGTCCTCTCCTTCTGAATCAGGTCTTCTCAGGTGTCTGCGTGGCTTCTCCCACACCTCTTTCAGGTCTCCGTTCAGATGTCAGCTTCACAGCCAGGCATTTGCTGACTACTCAAGCTAAAATAACTCCTGTCACCGTGTGGCCCCTCACTTGGTTTTATTTTTGTTCATAACACAACTACCTGACATAGATTATTATTAGTATTATTTTTGAGACAGACTCTTGCTTGGTCACCCAGGCTCGAGTGCAGTGGCACAGTCTCAGCTCACGGTAGCCTCTACTTCCTGGGTTCAAGTGATTCTCCTGCCTCAGCCTCCCAACTGGCTGGGATTACAGGTGTATGCCACCATGCCCAGCTCATTTTTACATTTTTAGTAGAGATGGGGTTTTGCCACGTTGGCCAGGGTGGTCTCGAACTCCTGACCTCAGTTGATCCGCCCAGCTCAGCCTCCTAAAGTGCTGGGATTACAGGCGTGAGCCACAGCACCGGGCCTATTATTATTATTATTATTATTACTTTTTTTTTTTTTTTTTTTTTTGAGATGGAGTCTCGCTCTGTCACCCAGGCTGGAGTGCAGTGGTGTGATCTCAGCTCACTGCAAGCTCTGTCTCCCAGGTTCACACCATTCTCCTGCCTCACCCTCCTGAGTAGCTGGGACGACAGGCACCTGCCACCATGCCCGGCTAATGTTTTGTATTTTTAGTAGAGATGGGGTTTCACCGTGTTAGCCAGGATGGTCTTGATCTCCTGACCTCGTGATCCACCCGTCTCGGCCTCCCAAAGTGCTGGCATTGCAGGCGTGAGCCACCGCGCCCAGCTTATTATTATTATTATTATTATTTTTTTTTTTTTTGAGACGGAGTCTCGCTCTGTCGCCCAGGCTGGAGTGCAGTGGCGCTATCTCGGCTCACTGCAAGCTCCGCCTCCCGGGTTTACTCCATTCTCCTGCCTCAGCCTCCCGAGTAGCTGGGACTACAGGTGCCTGCCACCTCGCCCGGCTAATTTTTTTTGTATTTTTAGTAGAGACGGGGTTTCATTGTGTTAGCCAGGATGGTCTCGATCTCCTGACCTCGTGATCCGCCCGTCTCGGCCTCCCAAAGTGCTGGGATTACAGGCTTGAGCCACCGCGCCCGGCCTATTATTATTTTTTGAGATGGAGTCTCCCTCTGTCACCCAGGCTGGAGTGCAGTGGCACCATCTCAGCTCACTCAACCTACACCTCCCAGGTTCGAGTGATTCTCCTGTTTCAGCCTCCCAAGTAGCTGGAACTACAGGTGTACACCACCACGCCTGGCTATTTTTTGTAATTTTAGTAAAGATGCCGTTTCACTATCTTGGTCAGACTGGTTTCAAACTCCTGACCTCAAGTGATCTGCCCTTCTCAGCCTCCCAAAGTGTTGGGATTACAGGCATGAGCCACCGCGCCTGGCCCTCACATCAATTATTGTTGGTTTATATCCACTGGGCTTTTTGGACCTCCCCACTAGAGTGTCTGACTCCATGTGAATATGGAACTGGCACCTGGAAGAGCACATGGTGTTTAAAAAGTGTTGCTTCTCCTGTACCATCCTCACCATCCTTGGTGAGGGTGATATGGGGCGGGGTTGCTGAACTAGGAGGGTCCCGTGTGGGGTGGTGGGGTCAGAGGTGGGGGAATAAACTGGACAGATTGTGGCACCCAAGGGCAGAAGGAAGCTTTAGTGTCTGAAGGAATTTGGAGGAAATGCAGATTCCTGGGCCCACCCCCAGGGTTTCTGCTCATGTATGGTTGGGACCCGACCTAGGAAGCTGCATTTTCAGAAGCACTTGTGGTAAGGATTATGTTCCCTGGCCATCACTGTGGGAAACACTGTTAGCTGGTGCGGAGTTTGCTGGGGCCACTGTGGTGATTGAGACACCTCCTGGCCCAGCCTGGGAGTCAGGGAGGGCTTCCTGCAGTGCAGGAGAGGGGACTGGAGCTGAGACCTGGAGGAGGACAGGGAATGAGCTGAGGGGAGAAAACCTTGGCTGTATCCCCAGTGCCTAGAACCCCATTTCCTGGCATCTCCCATTAAATTCACAAGCAGTCCCTGAAGATACAAGATGGATTAAAATGGCTCTGCCCCTCACGGGCTCCTGGTCTGTCACATAATCAACAGATCACACAGATGGTAACAGGGAGTGCCAGACACTGTTTGAAGCACCTTATATACATTAGTTTAATTCCACAGCAACCCTGTAAGGTAGGAGCGCTTATTATCCCACTTTACTGATGGGGGAAGACCCAGAGAGGGCAAGTGCTTTGCCCAAGGACACACGAAGGATAAAGGCAGCTGGAATCTGAACGCAGAAGTACCCAGTGTGCAGCATGTGCTATGCTTAAGGTGTGAGGCCGCATTTGGGTTAGTTCTGGGAGGAAACAGGAGGTGGTCAGGGAAGGGCAGCTGGGTAAGGGGAAGGAGGACGAATGTTTCTGTCCTTCTTTGTGGGATCCTAGACAAGCCTCAGTTTTATCCTCTGTATAATGGGGATGGTCATAATACCCAGCAGAGAGCAGAATTTAGGGTGAGTCATTCATTGGGTTAGTAAGTGTGCATGGTTCTTATCTAAGGCAAAACGCCTTTGAGAGACAGAGGGAGAGGGAGTCTGGATGCCCCAGGGGGAACTGGGGTGCCGCAGTGCACTCTGTAGAGATTTCATTGCTTGGTTCCCCAGAGGGCTTTTCTGTCTCTACATTCCATGAGGACAATGTGGAAGGCTTTGGTCTGTATTCTGGGGCAGTGAAGGGGGAGTTCTATCCAGCCTCAATTCACCCATGTGGTGGGGAGGTGAGGTCAGAATGGGATCGGGAAGGGGGTCATCAAGGCCAGGCCACGTGTGTGAATGTGGGGCCGAGGTCTGCTGCAGGGGAGAGCCCAGCTAGGGTATGGCTGGGCTGGAATATGTGTTGGTGGTGGTGGGGAGCTGCAGAGTGTGGGGAAACAGCCATCAGGTGGGGGCTGCCAAGGGCAGTGATTTGCCCATGTCTGGTATGGGAGGTAGTGATGTAAATTTGTCTTTGGTGAGCGCAGCGTGGAGAGTTTTCAGCTCCGGCCCCGGGGTAAGAGCTGTGAAATCTGTGAGCTATCCGGGGAGAGCCATTTGGAAGGTGGAGCCAGGGGTGGTGATGTAACACTGGAGAGGAAAGGGGTCATCCTAGTGAATGATGAGAGGGAGAGAACTGGGGGCTGAAACACTCAGTTGAAGTGTGCCGGCGCCGTGATGTCATGAGGCCCGAGAACTGGGTCAGGTGTGTGGGCCAGGATGGGGCCTGGGGGGCAGCCGCACAGTGCTCGCAGGGATGGGGTGGTGACGTCATGGGTTGGTGAGGGCGGGGCCTCGAAGGCACCGCTGGGATGCGTGAGGTCAGGAAGGAGGCAGAGGCTGAGAAGAGGAGCTAGCTGGGAGAGGCTCAGGACTGGAATGAAATCAGCCACCAGGATGAGCCACTGGTCATTCCGAAGCAAGGATGGAGGATGCAGGTAGAGGGACAGGGTCAGCGGTGGGAGGGGAGAGAGGGCTCAGGGTCCGGGGAATCCTAGAAGTGGCGGTGGTGGTGGGGTCAGTGGGGAGGAGGGGTTGTTCAGAGAGGGCTCTCCAAAGGGAAGAGAAGTGGAAAATGTGTGTGTGGGTGGAGTGGGGGTGGGGGGTGGGGTTACAAGCAATTTGAGAGGGAACAGAATCCAGGTGAAATATGGAGGTGATGGAATACAGGCTGAAAGTGGGGTGTGTGGAGCAGAACCTTGAGCAAATATGCGGGAAGAATGCAGGTGGAATAACGGGGTGCATTGAAGTTCAATATGCGGGAGCCCTAGGAGACCGTGGTTGGCTGGTGTAGGGAGGAGAGTGCGGCTGCCTCCCTGCCCCCAAATCTGGGAGAGCAGGATGGAATGAAGGGGCTTTGGACGGGAGAGAGGGGGCTGGTTTCTGGGGAATGTAGCATGAGGGTTGGGCTGGAATATGTGGAGTGGGAGGTTCTGCAGAGAAGAGGGGAGAGGGAGCCCAGAATTCCGTGGCCATCTGGGGGACAAGTAACGGGCAGCTGGGGTCAAGGAGGCCGTGTGGAGCGGGCACGGGTGTGGGATTTATTCCATCAGCAGTTACTGAGCGCTTAGGATATGCCTAGAGGAGGGGATGGGGCCGGGCAGCCGGTGAAGTTTGTGGAGGTGAGAGAGGTGTAAGTGTGCAAGGGGAATTGAGTTTAGGCAGAGTATTCGGGGGCTCAATGTCTGGGATGAGGGCGGGGTGGGGGCTAAGGATAAGGCCGTGGGATGCCAAAAGGGGCTGGTCTTCGCGGGGTGGATATGGGGGGTTTCTGCCGGGCAGTGGGGAAGGGGGAGTTGGCGGCGGGGATGCGGTGTGGCGCGCCCCCTTCCTCTGTGCGGTCTCCTCCCGGGAGTTGGGGACCACAAGTGGGGGCGGTGATGCTGTGCGGCTCCTCAGGTGTTCAGTTGCGTGGGTGCCTCCTACGCCTTGGTAACCCGGCGGCGTCGCCGCTGATTGGTTCTGGGAGCCGTAGGGGGTCGGGTTGATGGGCGGGGTTTAGGACACCCAGTGGGGCGGGGCCAGCTCTGCCACTCACTGCATTGGGATCAGGGGATGTGGGATATGTTGAAATGTGCAGCAATTTGTTTGCAGCGAGATCGAGATTATTATTTTTTATTTATTTGTTTTTTTTCTGAGACAGAATCTTGCTCTGTCACCCAGGCTGGAGTGCAAGGGCACGACGGCGTGCAGCAACCTCCACCTCATGGGTTCAAGCGATTCTCCCAAGTAGCTGGGATTACAGGTGCCTGCCACCACACCCAGCTAATTTTTGTATTTTTAGTAGAGACGAGGTTTCACCATGTTGGCGAGGCCGGTCTCAAGCTCCTGACCTCAAATGATCCACTCTCCTTGGCCTCCCCAAGTGCTGGGATTACAGGTGTGAGCCACCGCACCCGGCCGAGATAGAAATTATTAACTTGGACTTATGAACCACCAGAGAATGAAAGCACAATTGCCAGAGTGTGAATTTTCCAGGGGAAGGGGGTCCTCGAATTCATCAGCCCTTCCAAAGCACTCTTCTCCCAAATGAAGTTAAGAGCTGTGATCTAGAGAGAGGTGTCTGTCAGAATGTCTAGGGCCCAGGCCGTTGCCCTTGGGCCTCTGAGAAAAGAGATCTATGGATGGGCCTGGCGGGTGGTAATTTGGGAGCCCCTGAAATGAACTTGCAAAAGGTTGTGGGACTATTCATTTATCTGTGGAAGGCTCAGAAATTTCATTAGATTCTCAAAGGCTCAAGGACTCTAAAAAGGTTAAAAATCCCTTACCTGGAGTTTCAGGGATCATCTTTTTTTGCCTCACAATATTATATTTTCTGATATTAGACTTTATTTTATTTTACTTTTTGAGACGGAGTCTCTCTGTATTCCAGCTGGAGTGCAGTGACACGATCTCGGCTCACTGCAGCCTCCGCCTCCTGGCTTCAAGCGATTCTCCTGCCTCAGCCTCCGGAGTAGCTGGGACTACAGGCGTGGGACACCACACCTGGCTAATTTTTTTTGTATTTTTAATAGAGATGGGGTTTCATCATTGTTGACCAGGCTGGTCTGGAACTCCTGACCTCATGATCCACCCGCCTCGGCCTCCCAAAGTACTGGGATTACAGGCCTGAGCCACTGCACCTGGCCTGCTCTGACCCCCTTTTAAAAGTTTGGCTCATCCTATTCCAATACCCTCGTCTCTCTTTCCAGCTTGACTTTTCTCCACAAATGTTTGCTGAATGAATGAATGAATGAATGAATGAATCAATAATAAATATATAATAAGACTTAATAAAGTAATGCTAATATTAATCATGATTCTTTTGTTGGCAATCATGTATTTCTTTATTTCTTTTCTTTCTTTTCTTAACTGAGTTGGGGTCTCTGTCACCCAGACTGGAGTGCAGTGGCAAGATCACAGCTCACTGCAACCTCTGCCTCCAGCCTCCCAAGTAGCTGGGACCACAGGCACACACCACCACACCTGGCAATTTTTTTGTATTTTTAGTAGAGATGGGGTTTCACCACATTGCCCAGGCTGGTCTTGAACTCTTGAGCTCAAGCGATCCTCCTGCCTCAGCCTCCCAAAGTGCTGGGATACCAGGTGTCAGCCACCGCGCCTGGCTTGGCAATCATGTATTTCTAGTATCCAGCATGTATTGGACACAGCAGCCTGCAGGTCACAGTACCAAGAGCTTTTATACATATTGCCCAGTGTAATCCTCACAATAAGTCCATGAGGTTGGTGCCATGGTTATACCCATTTTCCAGATGAAGAAACTGAGGCACAGAGAGGTGAATTCACTTTCTCAGGATGCCACAGCTGGTAAATGATGGAGCCAGGATATGAGGCCTGGCCTTCCAACTCATGAGCCTGGGCTCTCAGCTCCTCTGGGTTTCTCTCTCATCCCCTTCTCCAGCAACCTTGACCATGGACCAGCCGGCCGGCCTGCAGGTGGACTACGTCTTCCGGGGTGTGGAGCATGCCGTGCGGGTGATGGTTTCTGGGCAGGTGCTGGAGCTGGAGGTGGAGGACCGGATGACGGCTGACCAGTGGCGGGGCGAGTTCGATGCTGGCTGTGAGTGTGCCTGCCTGGGGTGGGCTCACTTTTCCTCTCCTGGGATCAGCTTCTCCCAGAAGATGAGGCCACCCTGAATCCTGCCCACCCGCCTCTTCTATGTGGTTATAAAACCCACCAGAGAGCAGAATTTAGCTCCAGAAGCTCTCCAGTGTGGGGAGGGATGTAGGTCTTGGTGCTCAAGCCAGAGACACTGGAGGTGGGTAGAGTTGGAGAGCTTAGGTGCCTTGCCCTGGGGCTGGGCAAGCCGTCAGACCTCAGGAGAGACTTTTTTCCCCACCCAGTCATTGAAGATTTGACTCACAAGACAGGGAACTTCAAACAATTCAACATCTTCTGTCATATGCTGGAGTCAGCCCTCACTCAGGTAGGGCCCGGGGTGGCGGGTGCAGGTGGGAGGGGGGTTCTGTCTTCCAGGTTCCTGGGGGGTTGATGCCCAACTGATGTGTATCAGACCCTCTACCTCTTCTTTCATCGTGGGAAGAGGGCAATCGTTTTCTTCTTTTGCCAAATGTAAATGGTTCATTTTGAATTTAATGATAGTTATTCTCATGTAGAAAATTCAGGTCACAGAGAAATACAAAGAAGAAAGTAAAAATCACTCCATCCCTAATACTCGCTTCTGTTAATATTTCGGTGAAAATCACTCCAGCCATTTCTCCATGTCTCTATTTGTTTCCAAATACCTGCGTGTATGTATATGTGTGTGTGTGTGTGTGTGTATGTGTATGTATTTGCAGACCTGTAATTATATATAGTTTATCTATTTTCCAAGGTATTCTGCAACCTGCTTGTTTTTGTTTGTTTGTTTATTTGTTTTTTTGAGATGGAGTCTCGCTCTTGTTGCCCAGGCTGGAGTGCAGTGGTGGGATCTCAGCTCACTGCAACCTCCGCCTCCCAGGTTCAAGCGATTCTCCTGCCTCAGCCTCCTGAGTAGCTGGAATTACAGGTGCCCGCCACCATGCCTGGCTAATTTATTGTGTTTTTAGTAGAGATGGGGTTTCACCATGTTGACTAGGCTGGTCTGGAACTCCTGACATCAGGTGATCCACCCACCTTGGCCTCCCAAAGTGTTGCAATTACAGGCATGAACCACAGTGCCCAACCTAAAAAGTAATAATCGGGGGAAAAAAAGAAGGTTAGAACTTAGAGTGACAGGGTTGAGTGGTATTTAGATATCTTTTTTCTTTCTTTCTTTTTCTTTTTTTTTTTGAGGCAGAGTTTTTCTCGGTTGCCCAGACTCAGTGGCACAGTCTCAGCTCACTACAACCTCCGCCTCTTGGGTTCAAGTGATTCTCATGCCTCAGCCTCCTAAGTAGCTGGGACTATAGGCGTGCCCACCATGCCCGGCTAATTTTTGTATTTATTTATTTATTTTTTTGAGACACCGTTTCTGTCGCCCAGGCTTGAGTGCAGTGGCACGATAGTGGCTCATTGCAACCTCTGCCTGCCGGGTTCAAGCAATTCTTGTCCTTCAGCCTCCCGAGTAGCTGGAATTACAGGCATGTGCCATCATGCCCGGCTAATTTTGTATTTTTAGTAGAGACGGGGTTTTGCCATCTTGGCCAGGCTGGTCTTGACTTCCTGGCCTCGAGTGATCCACCTGCCTCGACCTCCCAAAGTGCTGGGATTACAGGTGTGAGCCACCGCGCCCGCCTGGACAAGCAATAGTTTCTTGAAGGTTAGTTGCAGTGTGGAATCTGCATCCTCATCAGTGAACTTTTTGTATTGTTACCTTAAATTCCACTGACTTATCTTGCATTTTGCATGGATCTTTTTTTACCTGTGGATGACTTTGTAACATCATGCATTGGTCATTTGGAAAATCTTGGTTCACTAAGTTGCGCAGATTTTTCAAATGTTGACACATTGCCTTATATAGTATCCAGAAGTCACATTTGTTAATATCCTTACCGATCTCCCCAGGAAAGTCTGTGAACACCAAGAAGCTATCAAACACCCACTGGAAGGTACAGGTTTTCCAAAATTCTAATTTTAAGTGGAAAGCTTGAATTTTGTTATTGGCAAGACATTCTGTTAGCTTTTTCTCTTGAAGTGACAGGCTCACTTTGTTCATTTTTGAGAAAATGTCTGCCAGATAGCCCAAGTCTAAATAACCATAGTTTTGTCTGTCAGTCGTTTTTTTTTTTTTTCAAGTAAAAATAGTGTTCCATGAAAAACGGCTAATTTAGCTCAAAACTCAGATGCAGAATCGCTTTTTCCTGAGACCATCGTCATACTTTGGCGTGCACAGAAGTACTTGATGTGTACTTCCCATTTTCTTGCACAACATAATAAAGAGATGTGTCCTCTAGGAGCTGGATTCAATAAAATTAATAATTTTTACTGCTTCATCGAGAACATTCCGATGTTTCATTTCCTGTGTTTTATGGTTGATTTGCTTATTTACTTGTTTGTTTATTTCTCTTGCCCAGCCCCCCGCTGAGACTGGGGAGATACAGTAACCTCCAGTGTCATTCGGTGCCAGGAGCTTGGTTTCTGCTAAGGCACCAGCAGTTTTTCCCACCATTGCTTTTGTACCATTTGCACACATGTCAACACAGTGCCAAAGACAAATGACATCTTTGTATTATTATGAAAGTAGCTTTGACCTCAGTGGACATCCCCGAAAGGGTCTCGGGGACCCCCCCAGGGATCTGGAGACAGCACTCGGAGAGTCACAGGTCTAAGCTGTTCTCTGTGGTTGAGCATTTAGGTTCTTTCTGGTTTCTCCCTTTGATGAAGTCCTTGTGTCTGCCCTGGGACAGGGCCATGTTGATCGCCAGCCTTCGCATAGGAAATGCTAGCCCGCCTAGAGAACAGGAAGGGCTGTGGCCCAGGTGTGTGCTAGGTGCCCTCAGTGTAGCGGGTGCGGTGGCAGCTCCTCCTCTCCTCTCCTGACAGAGTAGTGAGTCAGTCACTCTGGACCTGCTGACCTACACAGACCTGGAGTCCCTGCGGAACCGCAAGATGGGGGGCCGCCCAGGCTCCTTGGCCCCCAGATCGGCCCAGCTCAACTCCAAGCGCTACCTGATCCTCATCTACTCTGTGGAGTTTGACAGGTGGGGAGAAGGGACTGGCTCCAGGGCCAGGCTGGTAGGCGGGGTGGGAGAGCGTGTGGGTGGATCTTAGGAAGTCCTGGCACCCAGGCAAGGTGACATTGGTTAAGCCTTGCCTTGGGAATCTCACCTGTTGGGATTTGTATCATTTAGTATTGTGTTTGGCTACAAGTAGCAGAATAACCATCACCAGTATCCTAAACAAACAATGCATCACATAACAAGATGTCTAGGTAGGTGGCTGCCACCTGTGCAACAGTTCACTAGGGACTCAAGCTCTTTCTTTTTTTTTCTCCCCTTTACCATTGTTAATGTGTTGGCTTTTTTTTTTTTGAGATGGTGTCTCACTGGTTCACCCAGGCTGGAGTGCAGTGGTGCAATCTTGGCTCACTGCAACCTCTACCTCCCAGGTTCAAGCAATTCTTGTGCCTCAGCCTCCAGAGTAGCTGGGACTATAGGAGCCCACAACCATGCCTGGCTAATTTTTTTTTTTTCTGAGACGGAGTCTCGCTCTGTCGCCCAGGCTGGAGTGCAGTGGTGCGATCTCGGCTCACTGCAAGCTCCGCCTCCCGGGTTCACGCCATTCTCCTGCCTCAGTCTCCCGAGTAGCTGGGACTACAGGCACCCGCCACCACGCCCGGCTAAATTTTTGTATTTTTAGTAGAGACGGGGTTTCACCATGTTATCCAGGATGGTCTCGATCTTCTGACCTCATGATCCGCCCGCCTCGGCCTCCCAAAGTGCTGGGATTACAGGCGTGAGCCACTGTGCCTGGCCAATTTTTGTATTTTTAGTAGAGATGGGGTTTCATCATGTTGCCCAGGCTGGTCTCGAACTCCTGGCCTTAAGTGATCCTCCCGCCTCAGCCTCTCAAAAGCACTGGGATTACAGGCATGAGCCACCGCGCCCGGCTTGGCCTTTTGACTTCATCTTTATCTCTTCATGGCCACAAAATAGCTGCTGGATCTTCCAGACATTGCATCTATATCAAGGCAGGAAGAAGAGGGACAGGACTGAGTTTATTAATTGCATCTGCTGTTTTCATCAGGAAAAGAAACGTGTTCCCAGAAGACTCCCAACAGATTTCCTGTAATATGTGGCCAGAAGTGGTCACATGCAAGGGATGCTGGGAAAATGAATATCTGGCTTTCTAGCCTTTATAGGGGGAGGCAGCAAGGGAGTTGGGAATGGCAGTTGTGTAGCTGGGTGACCGTGTCTGCCCCATGTGTTGGTAACCACTGGATTTCTTAGTGGGAAGTTACCAATCCTCTGTGAATAGCATCTCATGAGGCTGTTAATCACAATGGCCCACCTTTCCCCAGCCAAGCTGGGGTCACCCAGGCCAGGCCAACCAGAATCCCCCACTGTGGCATCTGAATTAGGATTGTGTTTGGCTGCAAGTAACATGATACCAGCGTTCCCTTCATCAGCAGCGTGTGACAAGGAAGTTCCCCCAGACTACACCAGGGCTGCCAATCCCAGTGGTTTCCAAATTGTTATATGAGAGACTTTCAGAGGTGGTGACTGGAACAAGGAAGGGGCCTTGAGGATGTGCTCATAAGCCCCTAGGATGGTGCAGTTTTTGGAACTGTGTGTTTTCGCATTCTGTGGCTCTTAGAGGCTGGTGTTTACCCTCAGGTGCATTCTTGGCCTCTGAGATGCCACGGTTCTAATCCCCCCTCCTCAGGATTCACTACCCGCTGCCCCTCCCGTACCAGGGCAAGCCAGACCCCGTGGTTCTGCAGGGCATCATCCGGTCACTGAAGGAGGAACTGGGCCGCCTGCAAGGGCTGGACGGCCAGAACACTCGGGACACCCGGGAGAGTGAGATCTGGCGCCTGCGGGAGCAGTGAGTCTCGGAGCGGTGGGCAGCTGGGGCGGGTGGGAGCCCTGGAGCCCTCCCATCATGCACTGCAGGGCCCATGCTTGGCCCTGTGGGGAGGATGACTGTCCTTTGCCCACCATGTATTTATTCATTTTTTTTTGCGACAGAGTCTTACTCTGTCGCCCAGACTGGAGTGCCGTGGTGCGATCTTGGCTCGCTGCAGCTTCCTCCTCCTGGGTTCAAGCCATTCTCCTTCCTCAGCCTCCCAAATAGCTGGGATTACAGGCACGTGCCACCATGTCCGGCTAATTTTTGTATTTTTAGTAGAGAAGGGGTTTTGCCCTGTTGGTCAGGCTGGCCTCAAACTCTTGGCCTCAGGTGATCTGCCCGCGTTGGGCTCCCAAAGTGCTAGGATTACAGGCATGAGCCACTGCGCGAGGCCTCTGAGCCCCTCTTCTGTACCTTTGGGCTGGGTGGTGCTGGGGACAGAGCGGTGACCAAGACTATCTTGGCACTGCCCTCCTGGGACCGCCAGTCCAGGGAGGGAGGCAGATGTGTTTGCAGACAGTGAAGGCTCAGAGTGGGTGGGGACCTGACCCTGCCTGGAATGGGAAGGGTGTTCTTGGCAGAGGGAGCAGCATGTGCAAGGGTGCGGGGAGGTCGAGCTCTATGTAGGTGAATCCACCTTCACAGGGTGCCCCTTCTGTGCTAGCCCCGTCCCTGCCACTCACGTGGTGCCCAGCCCTGGGGGAGATGGGTGCTAAGTATATAACCACCTGAGTATATCATTACAGACGGAGATGCCTGGGGCAGGACGGGGAGCCTGTGCCATGCGAGGCTGTCACAGGACTCCACTGGGGTGTGGGGTGGGTCAGGCACAGGGGCTGGGGAAGTGGTGTAGGCAGAGGGAACAGCCTGGGCAAAGTCCTTGTGCTAGATGGGAATGCGGTGAGAACAAGGGAATGAATGAAGTGAAAGAAGCAAAGGCTTTTGGCCTATATATTCATGCCTGCCATGTGCTCGGTTCTGTTGGGGAGGTGAATCTGGGGCTTGATCGCTACCGGGGAGAGGCCTGGCTCATTGTGGACTAATAATATTTTTAGTAATAATAACACCAGTAATTAATGATTATTGAACATTTAACTGTATGCCAGGGCTGCTCTGTGCTTTATGATTGAATTCATTTTATCCTCACAGCCGCCCTATAAGGTAGGCACTGCTATTATCACCGTTTGACGGAGGCCCAGAGAAGTTAGGGACCTTGGTGCAGGTCACATAGTGGGTAATATGGCTAGGCTGGACCTTAGATCCAGGCAGCCAGCGCCGAGCCTCTGTTGTTTTCCCAGCTGTTTGCACTGTTTGTGGCTGCAAGCCCAGGACAGAGCTCTAAGTGCTGACCGGGAGGACCAGTCCTTATGGGAGCTCACAGGGCTGGGGAACCCCGACGGTCTTCGGAGGAGCTCGCCTGTGTACTGCTGGGCCGAGGAAGGCCTCAGTGGGGAGGCCAGAATTTATCCTCAGGATCTGCTCTCAGGCTGTGTGTGTGTGTGTGTGTGTGCACGCGCGCACGCTCTGTCTCAGGTGGTGTGTGTGTGTTTCTAGGTTTGTGTTTCTGGATGTGTGTTTCCCAAGATGGCCACAAGGTGGCGCCCTCCACCCTTTGGAACCAACCACAGAAGCCTTGAGATCCCAACGGTGCTCAGTGGCTTCTCTTCCTCTTCCCAGCCAGGAATTAGGGAGTTTGGAAAGGTTCTGAGATTTATTCCTTCATTCAGCCAACATTTATGGAGTTCATGCTGTGCCAGGCACACTGCCCGACACTGGTTAATGTTTATTATGCTAGACATGGTCTAAGCACTGTGAATAGATTCTTACAGCCTAACAGGCTGGCATTCTTATTATTGTCCCTCTTCACAGATGAGAAAAGATGGTCTGAGGCTCAGAGATGTGAAGTGAAACTGCCCAGGGCCACCCAGCTTGTTAACAAGTGGAATAGAGTTGAATGCAGTGCGCCCGGCCATGCAGCCTGGGGTCCTGTGCAGTGAACCAGACAGGTGGAGGCTCTGCCCCCAGAAAGGTGGGATCCACATGGGAAACGGACACTCCTCTACATGCCAGGTCTGCCAGGGTTGGTGCTAGGACGGAAAGGTACAGAGGGCTGGGAGAGCAGAGAATGTCAGGGGCAGGTAGGCTTTCCAGATGAGTGGAGTGGTTTTTGCCAGAAGGAGGAGAGAAGGTTCTGGGAGGTGAGAACTGCATCTGGCTGGAGCCTGTGGGAGAGGGAGGCAGGAAGTGAGGAAGGGAGAAGTCAGGTGGGTAAGGGCTGAATAGAAAGGAAAGCTCCTTGTTGGAGAGTGTGGGGAACCACAGATTTTAAGAAGGATTTATTAGGAAAAATTCCAAGCACCACAAAAGTAAACAGTAGTATAATTTGCACGTACTTGTCCCCCAGCTTCAACAGTTACCCACGTTTGCCCATCTTGTTTGAGGTACTGCCACCCCCTGCCCTGTAGCAAATCCCAGTCTTCGTATCTCCTCTGTAAAAGCTTCAGTGTGTATCTTTAACATATAAGGATATAAGTGCTGTCATCACGTCCAACAACATTAACAAAAATTCCATCATGTCATCTGAAACCCATTGCGTATGCGTTCACACTTACACTTCTCTGATCACCTCTCAAGTGTCTTTTTTGCAAGTGGTTTGAATTCGTCCTGTATCTAAATATGGCTGCACATTGCAGTTTGTTGAGGTCTTTCTTTTCTTTTTTTTTTCAGTCTTGCTCTGTTGCCCAGGCTGGAGTGTGGTGGTATGATCTCGGCTCGCTGTATCCTTGACTTCCTGGGCTCAAGTGATTCTCCCACCTCAGCCTCCTGAGTAGCTGGGACTACAGGCACATGCCATCATGCCCAGCTAATTTTCATATACACATATATATATATATATATATATATATATATATATATATATTTATAGAAACAGGGTTTGCCCATGTTGTCCAGGCTGGTCTTGAACTCCTGAATTCAAGCCATCCACCTGCCTCGGCCCCCCAAAGTGCTGGGATTACAGGAATGAGCCACTGAGCTTGGCTGATGTATTTCTTAAATCTCTTTTAATTTATATCCCCTTCACCACTTTTCATGCTACTTATTTGTGGAAGAAATCAGGTTATTTGTCCTGTAGAGTTTTGCAGTCTAGATTTTGCTGAAATTTTCCCTAGCAAGCATACTCAGATGGAAAAATGAAAAATAGATTTTGCTGATTATATCGCCATGGTGTGTTTAATGTCCTCCTCTGTCCCCTGTACTTGCAGTGAAGTGGTGGCTAACCGTATATAGGTTTAATCACATGTCGGGTAGGTTTTGGCAAGATGCCTCCTTTGGTTGTGTTGAGACTGATGGTTTCAGCTGTTGAGAGCTGGCTCCCTCTTTTATAAAGTTCTCTTCCGCCTTTCAGCCCGTGCAGGGGTTCATTCTGGATATGCACTCAAATTGCCCGGGAGCTTTGAAAAATGCCAGTGCCCTGGCTGCCCTGTAGATTCACCATTTCTTTTTGTTTTTGTTTTTGTTTTTCTTTTTTTTTTTTTTTGAGACGGAGTCTCACTCTGTCGCCCAGGCTGGAGTGCAGTGGCCGGATCTCAGCTCACTGCAAGCTCCGCTTCCCGGATTTACGCCATTCTCCTGCCTCAGCCTCCCGAGTAGCCGGGACTACAGGCGTCCGCCACTATGCCCGGCTAGTTTTTTTTTTTTTTTTTTTTTTTTTTGAGACGGAGTCTCGCTCTGTCGCCCAGGCTGGAGTGCAGTGGCCGGATCTCAGCTCATTGCAAGCTCCGCCTCCCGGGTTTACGCCATTCTCCTGCCTCAGCCTCCCTAGTAGCTGGGACTACAGGCGCTGGCCACCTCCCCTGGCTAGTTTTTTGTATTTTTTTAGTAGAGACGGGGTTTCACCGTGTTAGCCAGGATGGTCTCGATCTCCTGACCTCGTGATCTGTCCGTCTCGGCCTCCCAAAGTGCTGGGATTACAGGCTTGAGCCACCGCGCCCGGCCTCTTTTTACTTTTTTGAGACCGAGTCTCGCTCTGTCACCCAGGCTGGAGTGCAGTGGGGTGATCTCGGCTCACTGCAACCTCTGTCTCCTGGGTTCAGGCGATTCTCCTGCCTCAGCCTCCTGAGTAGCTGGGATTACAGGCATGTGCCACACCCGGCTAATTTTTGTATTTTTAGTAGAGAGAGGGTTTCACCGTGTTGGCCAGGCTGATCTCGAACTCCCGACCTCAAGTGATCCGCCTGTCTCGGCCTCCTAAAGTGTTGGAATTACAGGCATGAGCCTCCGCGCTTGGCCTATTTTTCTGTTTTTAAAAATTCTGTGAGCAGTGAGGAGTTCCAGGGTAGGCCCTGACTCCTCCAGACACACCATTTACACCTGAATCTCTGGGATGGGACCCCTCCCTCCTGCCCAAGAGTCCCACTACTTCACTACTTAACTTTCCTATTGTGAAATATAATACGCCCCAAAGAGTATAAAATATAAATGTACAGTTTCACAAATTATCATAAAGCCAGCGCCCATGTAACAACTACCCAGGTTAAGAAATCGAGGCCGGGTGCAGTGTTCCATGCCTGTAATCCCAGCATTTTGGGAGGCCGAGGTGGGCGGATCACCTGAGGTCAGGAGTTTGAGACTAGCCTGGCCAACATGGTGAAACACTGTCTCTACTAAAAATACAAAAATTTAGCTGGGCAGAGTGCGCATGCCTGTAGCCCTAGCTACGCGGGAGGCTGAGACGGGAGAATCACTTGAACCCAGGTTCAAGATTGCAGTGAGCTGGGATCAGCCTGGTGTGACACAGGCAGGCTCTGTCTGAAAGAAAAAAAAAAAAAAATTGAAAGTAGTCATTTCCCCCTAGCCTCTGCATGTCTTTTTCCAGGAGAGACCCTCTTGCTCTAACCATGCTCCCAAATGCACCTAATCTCACTCATTTGATTTGCTTATGGTTTTGCCAGCTAAACTACACATCCCTAAACAATATAGTTTAGTTGTATCCCTCTTTTTGCACTTAATTTAATTTTAATTTTTTTTTTTTTTTTTTTTTTTTAAGAGAGAGAGTCTCACCCTATCACCCAGGCTGGAGTGCAGTAGTACAGTAGTGCAGTCACGGCTCACTGTCACCTCAGACTCCTGAGTTCAAACAACCTTCCTGCCTCAGCCTTCCCAGTAGCTGGGACTACAGGCACATGGCACCATGACAAGCTAATTTTTTTTTTTTTTTTTTTTTTTGGAGACGAAGTCTTGTTCTGTCACCCAAGCTGGAGTGCAGTGGCACCATGTCAGCTCACTGCAACCTCTGCCCTCTGCCTCCTGGGTTCAAGCGATCTCCTGCCTCAGCCTCCTGAGTAGCTGGGATTACAGGTGCTCGCCACCAGACCCGGCTATTTTTTTTTTTGTATTTTTAGTAGAAAGGGGGTTCCACCATATTGTCCAGGCTGGTCTTGAACTTCTGACCTCAGGTGATCTGCCTGCCTTGGCCTCCCACAGTGCTGGGATAACAGGCATGAGCCACTGTGCCTGGCCACAAGCTAAGTTTTGTAGAGATGGGGATTTGCCCAGGCAGGTGTCAAACTCTTAGGCTCAAGCTATCTGTCTGCCTTGGCCTCCCAAAGTGCTGGAATTACAAGTGTGAACCATTACACCTGACCTACTTATATGTCTTTTCTTATGATGAAAATCTTGGTTTCTAGGGATAATAACATATTTATTTGCTTTATCTTAAACAATACCAGTGTAATTACTAATAATTGAATTTTGAATGAAGTTTACGATTTCCAGGGCTGGGTGCAGTGGCTCATGCCTGTAATCCCAGCACACTGGGAGGCTGAGGTAGGTGGATCACCTGAGGTCAGGAGTTTGAGACTATTCTGGCCAACATGGTGAAACCCCTTCTCTACTAAAAATACAAAAATTAGTCGGGGGTGGTGGTGGGCACCTGTAATCCCAGCTACTCGGGAGGCTGAGGCAGGAGAATCGCTTGAACCTGGTAGGCAGAAGTTGCAGTGAGCTGAGATCGTGCCACTGCACTCCAGCCTGGGTGACAGAGCAAGACTCTGTCTCAAAAAAGAAAAAAAAGATTTCCTCATAGTTCTTTTTGGCCTTAGGCTATATCCCACTTGCTCAAATGGTGTGTTTTAGTTACCTCCTATAATTCTCCAATGTGCCACCAACTTTGATATAGAGTCAGGTCTGTTTGGGCCAGTTTCTTTTAAAATTTTTGTGATGGCATTTGTTAAAATTTACTTAATTAATTTATATAAAATATTTTTATAGTTCCAAAGTCAAAACTGAAAAAGAGGGTACATTCAGAGAGGTCCAATTTTTTTTTTTTTTTTTTTTTTTTTTTTGAGACGGAGTCTTGCTCTGTTGCCCAAGCTGGAGTGCAGTGGCCGGATCTCAGCTCACTGCAAGCTCCGCCTCCCGGGTTCAAGCCATTCTCCTGCCTTAGCCTCCCGAGTAGCTGGGACTACAGGCGCCCGCCACCTCGCCCGGCTAGTTTTTTTGTATTTTTTAGTAGAGACGGGGTTTCACCGTTTTAGCCAGATGGTCTCGATCTCCTGACCTCGTGATCCGCCCGTCTCGGCCTCCCAAAGTGCTGGGATTACAGGCTGAGGTCCAATTTCTTAAATTTTTTTTTATTTTTTATTTTTGAGACGGAGTCTTGCTCTGTGCCCCAGGCTGGAGTGCAGTGGCGCGATCTCGGCTCACTGCAAGCTCCGCCCCCCGGGTTCACGCCATTCTCCTGCCTCAGCCTCCCAAGTAGCCGGGACTACAGGCGCCCGCCACCACGCCCGGCTAGTTTTTTGTATTTTTTTTTAGTAGAGACGGGGTTTCATGGTGTTAGCCAGGATGGTCTCTCTTCTGACCTTGTGATCCGCGCGCCTCGGCCTCCCAAAGTGCTGGGATTACAGGCTTGAGCCACCGCGCCCGGCAAAAAAAATTTTTTTTTAAATTATCTGTAGTTCTGACTTTATTTTTTTGAGATATGGTCTTGCTTTGTCTCCCAGGTTGGACGGCAGTGGCACAATCTCAGCTCACTGCGCACTCTGCCTTCTGAGTTCAAGTGATTCTCGTGCCTCAACCTCCTGAGTAGCTGGGATCACAGGCATGTGACACTACATCAGGCTAACTTTTGTATTTTTAGTAGAGACGGGGTTTCGTCAGGTTGGCCAGATTGGTCTTAAACTCCTGGCTTCAAGTGATCCACCTGCCTCGGCCTCCCAAAGTGCTGAGATTACAGGCATGAGCCACTTTGTCCAGCCAGAGAGGTCCAATTTCTGTTCATTTCCCCCTTCCCCATAAATAATCCTTTTCCCCCATAGATTTTGGTTTATTCTATTATATAATTTTGAAAATATAAACATGTAATTTATAATTCTCGTTTCTTTTACGAAAAGGGACATTCTGAACATACTGTCTGCACCATACTGTGTCACAGCAGTCACTCGGTGACAGGACGTAGAGATCCTCTACTTTCCTCTTTATAGTTTTGTGCGACTCAATTGAGTAGATGTATTAGAAATTCAGTTAGTTCTGTTTTGACGTACATTTTGGCTATTTCTACTCTTTTGCTATTACAGATTGTGCTGCAATGAATAATAGCCTTGTGTATATACTTTCTTAAGGAAGGGTTTTGAGCGTGGTAGTTACCTGATCAAATTTGTATTGCAGAGGATTTCGTGACTGGGAGACTGGCCTGGCGAGGTGGGAGGAGGAGGGAGGCAGTGCTAGGCTTTCAGGGTGTGGACAGATTGATGAAATCGTTTAGAATTGGAACTCACATGGCTGTGTTCCCACTCCTTCACCCGCACCAGGGGAGGAGTGTGTGTGCGTCCTGTGCGTGGTGGGGTCATGTCCTCTTCGTGGGGTGGATGAGGGTGATGTGACCACATCCCTCCTCACACGTCGATAGGGGAGATGATAGGAGCCTGCCCCTCCCCTTGGGGGCAGTTGAGAGTGATGGAGCCCTGTTCCCCCTTCCGGAGAGGTGAAATGATGAGGCGTCCCACCCCCATGGAGTCGTGGGAATGGGACCATGCCTCTCTCTCCAGCGCTCTCTCTCCGTCTTCCCCAGGGTGTCGCGCCTGGCGTCTGAGAAGCGGGAGCTGGAGGTGCAGCTGGGCCGATCGCGCGAGGAGGCGCTGGCCGGGCGCGCGGCGCGCCAGGAGGCCGAGGCGCTGCGCGGGCTGGTGCGCGGGTTGGAGCTGGAGCTGCGGCAGGAGCGTGGGCTCGGGCACAGGGTGGCCGGCCGTCGCGGCCAGGATTGTCGCCGTCTGGCCAAGGAGGTGAGCAGCGGGGGGCCGGGAGCGGCCTCAGCCTGGGCTTCGGCCTCAGCCTGGACCTTCGCGCCCCTCTCCCCTCCTGGCAGCTCGAGGAGGCGAAGGCATCGGAGCGGAGCCTGCGCGCCCGGCTGAAGACGCTGACCAGCGAGCTGGCATTGTACAAGAGGGGGTGAGAGGCTAGGCCTGCGGTGCTCTAGGGCGGATGGGCGGGGCCTGAGAGGGGGTGGAGCGTGAGGAGGCGGAGCGTGAGGGAGGCGGGGCGGGGCCAGGTAGGGTGGAGGGGGCGGGGCTGAAGGGGAGGAGGGGCTTAGCGGACCCCGTCTGGAGGCCAGACAGGATTCGGGTGCGGTGGTTAGGTGGACCCGGGCTGTGCGGAGATGCGCAGGCTTGAGGCGGCGTTCAGGAGGGACTGGGAAAGGGATTGGGCTCTAGGGTCTCCTGGTGCGAAAGGGTGCGGCGCAGCAGGTGGGATCAGGGTGAGGTCTGCTGGCATTCATGGGGTGGGTGGTGGAAAATTGGGAAGGGTTTCCGGGGAGTTGTGGAAGACTCCAGAAAGAAGGGTTTGGTGAAGGGGGTGTGTTGAAAGGATGTTGGGAAATGACAGAGGGGTGTTTTAGGAGTTTGGGTGTGGTCTAGGGGGAGGATATCATGAGGGTCGTGGGCCCAGGAGTGCACGTCTAGGAGCTGATGGGGTAGGCCTGAGGGTTCGGAGAAGGTGCGGTCGGGGAGGAGTCTCGAGATTGAGTTTGTCGGGGCGGGTGGGAAGCTGACAGCTGCCCCTGTGGTCTCAGGAGGCGGACTCCGCCGGTGCAGCCGTCCCCGGCGCGGGAGGACCGGGCCTCATCGTCCCGGGAGCGCTCCACGTCGCGAGGCCGCGGCGCCGCGCGCTCCTCATCCCGGGAGAGCGGCCGCGGAAGCCGGGGTCGGGGCCGCCCTGCGCGCCCCTCGCCCTCGCCCACAGGTCTGTGCCCCTGCCCTGCGGTGGGGAGGGGACGCACTGGCGCTGCCAAGGCCCGTCGCAGGACCCAGCCGCCTCCTCTCCCACGTGGTCCTAGGTGGTCGCGCGCTCCGCTTCGACCCCACGGCCTTTGTGAAAGCCAAGGAAAGGAAGCAGAGAGAGATCAAGATGAAGTCAGTGCCCCTTTCTCCCTCACCTGCCCCTGTCCCTGGCCCTTGCCCGCTCCCGGGCGCTCATCTCTCCACGCCACCATCAGTCCCCATCTCCTTCCACCTGCTCGCTTCTCGCCGGATACCCCGCCTGCTTTGCCGGCTCCGCCTGCTGTGCCTTCCGTCCGTCCCACCTCCTCGTCTGTGTTTCTGCATGCTTTCCGCGCCTAGGCTCGTCACCTTGGGCGGTTGCCGGCGTGGCTGTGACCTTTTGGGGCGCAGCGACACCCTTGCCCGCAGGAGTTGGGCGTACAGGCCAGTGTCTCCTTTCTTTTTTCCCAGGCAGCAGCAGCGGAACCGATTAGGCAGTGGGGGAAGCGGGGACGGTCCGTCCGTCTCCTGGTCTCGCCAGACACGGGCCCCTGCTGTCGTGACTGGCCGAGGGGACGCCCCTAACCGCTCCCGAAACCGCAGCTCCTCAGGTAACCCGCCTGGAGCTCGGGGCCGCGGGGCTAGGCGGAACTGCGCGGGGGTGGGAGGCACTGGGCGGGGCCGGCGGGTCGGGCGGGGCGGGGCTGGGCGGGCTGGGAGGGCCTGGGAAGCACTGGGCGGGGCCAGCGAGGGCCAGAGCTCACGCCCTCCGTCTCCCTCTAGTGGATAGTTTCCGCAGCCGCTGCTCGTCTGCCAGCTCCTGCAGCGATTTGGAGGATTTCTCCGAGTCGCTCTCCAGAGGGTAAAACTTGAACATGGGAAAAGGATCACCTCAAAAGGGTTTCTGGAGAGACTATAAACAATCTTTTTCAGGGAAATTGGGTGATGGAGCCTGGGGGCCGCCACAAAGGTCGGGGAGGTGGGAATACTGGAGCCTCCGCACCACTGGTTCTTGGTTACTCCTTTTTCTCAGGGGTCACCGCCGCCGTGGGAAGCCTCCCGGCCCAACGCCCTGGAGTGGGTCCAATACGGTGAGTAGAAGGGGTAGCATAAACCGCTGGAACACAGCTGTCCTCATTTGCTGTGATTCCTTCCTGGGGATCAGGGGCAGAGGTGACTCTGAATGCCTGTGCAACAGGGCTTTTTTTGTGTAAGAGTGGCTCTCGCTCTGTCCTTCAGGCTGGGGTGCAGTGGGGGCAATTGTAGCTCACAGCAGCCTTTAACTCCTGGGCTTGAGAGACCCTCCCACCTCGGCCTACGGAGTAGCTGGGACTAGGCTTTTTTTGCGGGGGAGGGTGAGGTTGAGACAGGATAAGGGGGTAGTATTGTCTCTTTATGTTGCCCAGGCTAGTCTGGAACTCTTGGCCTCAAGCCATCCTTAGCCTCCCACAGCACTGGAGTTACAGGCTGGGCCAGCGCACCTGGCCTGGGAACAGCATGTTTTGAGAGCATTAGATTGGAGAAGGAATAATGGGAGGCATGTGATGCTCTTTAGGGCTTTGGCTTCTCACTGTCAGGTCTTGAAACCAGACTCCTCCTCTTACCAGCTGTATCATTCAAGGCAGTTCTTTAGCCTCTCTGTACCTTAGTTTTTGTTTATCTGTTAACCGGGGATGGTAATGGCATCACCTCACATGGGAGGTGAGGGCTCTGTGAGGACATTAGGAGGTTATTTTGCATATAATGAATACCCAGTAGATGTCAGGCCTTATTTTTCCCCAAGGTCCTTAGGCTCAGGATTTCCAGTGGGATTTAGGGGGACAGAAATAGAGGGACAGTGGCTGACCCCCTTTCCCACCTTCCCCATCACCAGAAGTCCACCCCCGTGGAACGCAGCCACCAGAAATCTCTGACCAACTCTGGGGGCTGGGTGCCCATCAAAGGTGAGCCTGGGACTCCACATCCCCTCTCCCAGCCCCAGGACCCGTTGGAATGGTAGTGGGGGCAGTGGTATATTGGGCCCAGGAACTCCCTGGGGCTTCAGGACCCTCACAGCCCCCCATACCCCCACCTGCTCTCACAGAGTACAGCTCGGACCACCAGGCGGCTGACATGGCCGAAATAGACGCACGCCTGAAGGCCTTGCAGGAGTACATGAACCGACTGGATATGCGGTCATGATGTGGAGAAGGGGTACTGCCCCTCCATTCCCCACCCACTTGCTGGGTATGGCGTGGGGGGTGGGGCCAGGGTAGCCTCCAGCCCTGCCCAGGCCCTGCCCTGGCCCCACCCTGGCCCCACCCCTCCTGCTGTCTCTGTGGTCTCAGGTGTGTGAGGCTCTGACCCTGCCCTCTCCCCAGGCAGTGCATGCTGGGAAGGAGGATGTGTGCATTTTGTAAATAAACATATTTGCCCTGGGGGCCCCTCAGCTTATGACTAAAGGGTGAGGGTGGAGTGGGGAGAAATGTGGAGGAAGAGAAATTAGGGGGTATAACTGGAACCTGTGTGTGCCTCGGAGGCAGACTGGGACTCAGGCCTAGGTAAAGCTTGTACACTCTCTAAACAGTGCAAGGGCAGAGCTGGGAGGAGTAGTGAGCAGCCTGTCCCCAAAGGAGTTCAAGCAAAGGTTCTGCGCAGGATGCCTTTGGCTGTGTGGTGGGAAGGGGGTGTCTTGCAGCGTGGTTCACTGCCCAGGAGGACCCCCAGGACCCCCTGTTGGTGACATCCAGGCCGCTTTGGTGCTGATTCCTGGGCTCTGACCTGAGACCTCTGGGTTCTGAGCTGTGATGTTGCTCTCGAGCTGGGATCTCCGGGGTCTTGGTTCAGGGCCGGGGCCTCTGGGTTCCAAGCACCAGTGAGGAGAGTGCTGGGAGGGAAAGGGTGGGCGGGCTTTGGTCTTGTGGGAGGGAGAGAAGGGGGGGAGGTTTGTGGTGGGACCTGCTGAGGAACACATTTTGAGCTGCATCTTTATTGGAGGAGGAGGCAGTGGGGTTTTTGGCCATGGGAGGAGAGGAATGGGGGGCAGATTAGCAGGGCCTCAGTGGGAGGGGTAGTGTGGCCAATTCTGGATGAGGTTGTAGAGCTGGTCGCCTGGAGAGAGTGTACGCTGCACATCCCGGTGTCCTTTGAGCACATAGTTGGACTTCAGGGCTCCCTGAGCCACACCGCAGGCCAGTAGACCCTGGGCTGCCCGGAGGGCCCGGGGTGGGGGCACCCGATCTGGAGGAGACAGAGGTAAGAGTTAGGCAGGGGCTTCCCTGAAGGGCAGTGGTAGTGTAGGGCCCTGTGTCAGCCCCCATCCCGACTGGCTGGACAGTCACTCACCCATGTAGTTGCCCATGAAGCTGATGCCAATGGACATGGTGTTCCAGAAGCGATCTGCGTGCGCGCCCGTGAAGTTCCAGCCACGGCCCTCGTATACGAGCCCATCTTCTCCAATCAGGAAGCTGCATGGGGAGGTGGGGGGGGCTTGATGAGTGAGGAGGGTTTCCCGAGGAGAACTCCTCCTTCTTCCTCCACTCACCCTGCCTCGGTTCCTGCCCTGGTGCACACAACTTCCCCAGCATCCTTCTCACCCCTTAATTTCCCACGATAGTAACAATGACTGTGGTCATTTATTGGGCCCCTGCCATGTGCCAAGCACAGCTCTGCATACACCTTTTTTTCATCCTCATGGCAACCCTGATCACCCCATTTTATACAGACAGAATCAGAGCAGTAGAATCACCTGCCCTGGGGTCACACAGCCCGTCTGGTGCATAGCTGGGGTTTGTACCCAGGCCTCCGTGGTCCCCACCCATGTGATCTTGTGCCTTGCTCTCTCCTGCCTCCCTAGAGGATTTGTGGAAGTCCTGTTTTACTGAATCCTTGCAGGACAGCCCTCTGAGGCAGGGACTCTTTTTTTTTTTTTTTTTTGAGATGGAGTTTCACTCTTGTTGCCCAGGCTGGAGTGCAGTAGGGTGGTCTCGGCTCACTGCAACCTCTGCCTCCCAGATTCAAGCGATTCTCGTGCCTCAGCCTCCTGAGTACCTGGGATTACAGGCATGAGCCACCACACCCGGCTAATTTTTGTATTATTAGTAGAGACAGGGTTTCACTCTGTTGGCCAGGCTGATCTCGAACTCCCAACCTCAGGTGATCTGCCCGCCTTGGCCTCCCAAAGTACTGGGATTACAGGCATGAGCCACCGTGCCTGGCTGAGGCAGGGACTCTTACCATCCTCATCTTAAGCTGAGAGTGCAGAGACTCAGAAAGCGACATAGTTTGTACAAGGTCCTCAGAGCTCCCTGCCTCTCAGATCTCTGCCCTCGCCCCAGCCTGCTTCCTGCCCTGGGGTCCTCTGGGGGACAGGATCAGAGACTCAAAGTTGGGGTCACAATCAGATACCGACCCTGGAGCCCCAGCACCTGCCTCTTTGAGGTTTCCAAGCCTGGCAGCAAATCCTTAAGGCTGATTCATTCAGTAGGTCCGATTGAGCATGTCTGACATGGCACATGGGGATGAACTAGAAGATCAGTGCCTTGCAGCTGCAGTATGTGCCAGCTCAGCCCTCGCACTCACAGTGTCATTAGTGATGCACAGAATGTTGGAACTTCCGAATCTCGAGTCCTGAATCTGCTGCTTAGGAAGCCAGCTCCCAGAATCTGGCCCTGGTGATGCTGGCTGCTGGGACTGGCTGGTTATGGCCCTGCCGGTGATGCTGGCTGCTAGGACTGGCTGGTTATGGCCCTGCCATGTTCCCGGAGCCTGGCATGATGGTGGTGGGGTCGGGGGTGGTTGGTTCTCCCTGGTCATTTGTTGCATGAATACATCTCATTTAAACCTCAGCCACCATCGCCAAGCGGGTACAGTCCAAAGCCCCATTTACAGGTGAAGAAACGAGGCTCAGAGAGAGAACATGACATGACATGTAAAGGGGATTCAGAATGTTAGAACCAGATTCTGAATCCTAAAAGCTGAGGGCCAGACACCGGCTGCTTCTGTATGTGGTGACGTGGACCTGAGGCTGTAGAGCCAGGCTTGGGCCTTCGTGACCTCATGGGAACGCTTAGAATTGGAGCGCCTGAGTCTTGGAAACAAAACGTTGACGTTGGATTGTTTGATAAAATCTTGAACTGGAAGGGCTGGGAATACCTTTGGAAACCTCTAGACTTCTCTGGGTGGGGTTTTTTTCTTTTTTTCATGACACAGCCTTACCAGGTCCTGAGAGCATGTGCTCCCTGGGTGGGGTCTATTGAAGTGGACTCTGGGGACCTGGGGATCTGGGGACCTGTGTGTTCCTCCAGTAAGCTCTGCAGGGGATTCTGATGCTACCTGGGTCTGAGAGCTTGCAGGATTCAAACGTTCCCTTCCCTTGGAAATCCTCAGGCTGGACTGCAGCCCATTATAAGGAGGAGGTAGCTGGTAGGCATGGCCCCGGACCTGCTTCAGCCGGCACCCCTTATGATCTCTTCTCCCCATGGCAGCCAGAGGGAGTCTCTTGTACCTACACTAGTCCCCGTCCCTGCTTTGCAGGGGGAAGCCTCCCGTAGCTCCCATCTTGGAGTAAAAGCTACAGTCCTCACTGTGGTCCACAAGGCCCTGCCTGGTCCGGCCCTTTCCCCATTTCATTCTGCTCCCCCGGCTGTGTTCAGCCACCCTGTCCTTCCCACGGGACCCACCCACTCAGCCCCGTTGGCTTTGCCCCCAGCACCCTCTGCCACCAGCACTCCTCTGTCAGCTCCCCGATCCCAGAGCCAAGGCAGCCACTCTCAGGGAATTTCCCTTGCCCCACCCTTTCAAGGAGCCTGTGTGGGTCTGGTCCCAGCCTGAGGTCACCCTCCCTCACCTCCTTTTATCCATCGCCTCTATCACCGTCTGAATTCACCTGTGGCCTGGGCTTCTTTCTCCTTGCGGGTCTTTCAGCCCCAGGAGGCTAGAGTGGCACCGTTCTCCATGCCACATCTGGCACACTGCCTGGCACATAGTAGGTGCCTAATGGCAATAGCCTGTGGCTTTGTGGGCCCCTGTGTGCCAGGCAGTTCCTAGGTGCTTTGCCTGTATTGGCTCATTTAAGGAGCAGATGGGCCGCGATCCCGTTGACTTTGCGGAGGAGGAAGCTGAAGCCGGGAGGACCTGCCCCAGCTGGGGAGGGATCTGCCCCAGGCCTCAGCCAGCAATAAGCTGAGCTGACTCTGGAACCCAGCTCCGCACTGAGTCAGCCTGCTTTTCTGCCTCCTAACAAAGGCACCAGGCATCAGAAAGGGGCGCCTTCATAAGGCGCCGCGGACACCTTGGTGCGTGTTAGGCAAAGTCTGCCCCTTCCTCCCGGGAAGCGGGGCTTGGATTTCAGCCCATCCCCGGCCCTCACGCATCTTGGTTCTGAGCACCTGCACTGGCCCACGCGGTGACCCGAGGAAGAAATGAAGACCCTGTGAGGTTCAGTAAGCTGCTCGGGGTGTCAGCCAGGTGGCCCCAGCACCCGGCCTAGAACCGGTCCCGCTGGCGGGCACTTGCACACCTTTGCCTCTGGGGTCCCTGGTCCAGCCCGTGCCTCCCCGCCGCACTCACTTGTAGCCCACGTCGCACCAGCCCAGTGTCTTCACGTGGTAGGACTGCACATTCTGGGTCTGCTGCTGGCACAAGGCTGGGGTGTTGCAGCTGCTGCCCGCCGTGTGCGACACCACCACATAGCGCAAGGGCAGGCTCAGGCGCTGGGTGCACTCTGACTGCAGGGCCCTCCACTCGTTCCGGGGCACTATAGGGCTGCAGCAGGCCGGGGCTTCTGTCTTCTGAGCCTCTCCGAGTCGAAGGAGGCCGAGGAGAGCCCAGGCAAGCAGCGCACAGCGGCGGGACATAGCGGCAGGGCGGCAGGGGCGGGGAGACCGCTAGGAGAGCCAGGTGGCGGGGCCGCCTTTATCTGCTGGGGGATTCCGGGAGTGGCCCGGAAAGTTTTGCTTCACACCCTGCTGGGACTTCCCTGCTGGCCCAGCAGACCCCAGACTCAGCTTCCTTCCCTGGCAGGGCCAGGGCGGGATGCACTGTGGTTGGAGTCTGGGTTGCGCCCATGGCAATGACAGGCCGCCTCGCTCAGCAGGGAGGGCCGCACAGGCTTCGCCCCGCCGTTTCCGGAAGACCCGGGGCCGGGATCCCGGTCCTGCTTGTCTCTCCCCCTCTCAGTGGAACATTGAACAACTCAACAGGAACTTACATGGCAGATCCCCGGGGCGTTGGCACATCTTCTCTCCGCAAGGACTGAGGTAACAAAGGTGTTCATTTTAAAAACACTTCCTTCTCCCAGGTCCAAGCCTGATGCCATTTACCCTTGCAGCAAACTCACGAGGTGAGTATCTGGAAGCCCATTTCACAGTGGAGGAAACTGAGGTTGGGAGCAGGTAAGTCACAGGCTGAGACGACGGAGGCACTGGAGCCCCGCGTCTAGAGCCAGGCTGCCTGTGTGTGAATCCTGGATACCCAGTGTGTGAGAGCCTGCAAGTGGTTTTTAAAAATGTGTATTTAAAAAATATATATATTTTAAATTTTATTTTACAAATAATATTTTACTTTTTTTTTTTTTTGAGATGGAGTTTTGCTCTTGTCACCCAGGCTGGAGTGCAATGGTGTGATCTTGGCTCACTGCAACCGCCGCCTCCCAGGTTCAAGAGATTCTCCTGCCTCAGCCTCCTGAGTAGCTGGGATTACAAGCACGCACCACCACGCCCAGCTAATTTTTGTATTTTTAGTAGAGACGGGGTTTTGCCATGTTGACCAGGCTGGTCTCGAACTCCTGACCTCAGGTAATCTGCCCACCTCGGCTTCCCAAAGTACTGGGGTTGCAGGCATGAGCCACTGCGCCTGGCCTAAGGTTTGTAATTAAAAAAAAAAAAAATATATATATATATATATATGTGTGTGTGTGTGTGTGTATATATATGTGTGTGTGTGTGTGTGTATATATATATATATATATATATATATATATAGAGAGAGAGAGAGAGAGAGAGAGAGAGAGAGCGCGATCTCACCAGGCTGCCCATGGTTGAACTCCTGAACTTGAGCCATCCTCCTGCCTCAGCCTCCCAAGGTGCTGAGATTACAGGCGTCAGCTACCATGTCCCAGCACCCTACAAGTGATTGAACCTTCCTGTGCCTCAGTTTTCCCCACCTGCAATATGGGGATGACATAGTACCTGAGTCAGAGGGTTGATGAGGGATTAGATGGGTTGCAGGGGTAGAGCCCTTAGAAGGTGTCTGGCACAGAGTCCCACAGTCACACCCGTGGGACCGGAACTCCAGCCCACCCTTGGTAGGAAGAAACATGCTTTATACATGGGGACCTCTGGCAGCTCAGTTCGGGAGAGGAGGGAATCTGGGGTCTGGAGAGGAACAGCCATTTGCCCAGGGCCGGAGTGGGTTGGGGTCACCTGTTGGGGCAGAAGGCTTTCCTGGGCCCTCTGTCCTGCCCAGGTCCCCTTCCCATGCCTTCCTAGAGCACGTGGTGAGTTCAGGGCAGACTACCTGGTTCGTTCTTCTACCCCTTCTATTTTAGTGGCTCTTTAAAAAATTACAAAAAGGATCTCTCATTTGCCCTCTGGCAAGGAAATCAAAATAAATTACAAAAGTAACACATGCTGTAACAAGTTGAATTGATACAAAATGTTAATCACCTGTGTCCCACCCCTCCAGCGCCACCCACCTGAGGCCACCTGGGAACAGTGTGGTGTGTTTTCTTTTTTCTCCTTCCTTCCTTCCTTCCTTCCTTCCTTCCTTCCTTCCTTCCTTCCTTCCTTCCTTCCTTCCTTCCTTCCTTCCTTCCTTCCTTTTCTCTCTCTCTCTCCTTCCTTCCTTCCTTTCTTCCTTTCTTCCTTCCTTCCTTCCTCCCTCCCTCCCTCCCTCCCTTCCTTCTCTCTCTCTTTTCTTTTTCCTTTCTTTTCTTTTCTTTGTCCCCCTCTGTCACCCAGACTGGAGTGTAGTGGCATGATCTTGGCTAGTGCACTGCAAGCTCCGCGTCCTGGGTTCAAGTGATTCTCCTGCCTCAACCTCCCAAGTAGCTACAATTAGAGGCGTGCGCCACCATGCTCAGCTAATTTTTGTATTTTTGGTAAAGACAGGGTTTCACCATGTTGGCCTGGCTGGTCTCGAACTCCTGACCTCAGGTGAGCCACCCACCAGTCTTCCAGAGTGCTGGGATTACTACAGGCATGAGCCACCGCACCTGACCAGTGTGGTGTGTTTTCATCTTCCATGTCCTGCATTCTCACGTACAGTGTACTCATGCTGTTACTGAATTGTGCACCAGGCATCTGTGGCACTTTTTAGAAATTATCACATACTCATGACAAGCTTGCAAGATGCATGTTATTATTAACCCCTCTTACAGTTGACGAAACTGAGGCCCGGGTGTATGATCACATACAGGAGTTGGTGAAGCTGGGGTTTGGCTACAGGCTTTCTGCCTGCAGAGTTATAAACCATATTCTCTTCCCTACAAACTTATATAAGGACATAAAAAAAAGTAACAAAATCAAAACCATGTGCATCAATTTACCTTTTGTCACCTAATATTTCATGGGCATCTCACCAGGGCAGTATATCTAATTCTAATTTATTCTTTGTAATAGTTGCACAATGTGCTGTAGTATCAGTTCAGCATTGTGGATCTTTTAGTTTTTGAAGTTTTCCAGTATTTTCCCCACACTACGCAAAATATTTTCAGACATATGTCCCTATGCACTGGTGCATTTATAAGTAAATTATAAACACAGAGTTATTAGGTCAATGAGTATACATATTTAATTAATATTACCAGATTGTTTTCCCCAAAAAGCTATTAATAATTCATATTTTTCACCAGTAATGTTTTGGAGCCTCCTTACCCCGACCCCAGAAGTGGGTGTTATCACTTTTTTTTTTTTTTTTGAGTCAGAGTCTCGCTCTGTCACCCAGGCTGGAATGCAGTGGCAAGATCTCGGCTCACTGCAACCTCCACCTCCTGGGTTCAAGCCATTCTCCTGCCTCAGCCTCCCAAGTAGCTGGGACTACAGGCGTGTGCCACCATACTGGGCTAATTTTTGTATTTGTAGTAGAGATGGGGTTTCACCATGTTGGCCAGGCTGATCTCGAACTCCTGACCCCAGTGATCCACCCACCTCGGCCTCCCAAAGTGCTGGGATTACAGGTATGAGCCATCTTGCCTGGCCAGCGTTATCACTTCTTAAATTTATAGGTGTAAAGTGACAGCTCCTTTGGCATTTTAATGCCCACTCAGGAGACTGGGTATTTTTCCATATTTGTTGTCTATATTTGGGCTTGCTTTTTTGTCAATTACCTATTCATATCCATTGCCCATTAAAAAAAATTGGGTTGTTTGCCTTTTTGTTATTATTTGCAAAATGAACAAAAGTATCACATAATTGGGATTATTGAGTTCTTGGGTGTGTACATTTTGTGTATTTCAGTTTCTTTTAGAAGCATTAAAGAATAATGTAATATAAAAAGTGTACAAACACATTTTTTATAGAGTTGATAGACTTAATAGAGTAGTGAGCTTATGAATTTTCATGAAGTGAATACACCTGTGTATCCAGTGCCTGGATTAAGAAGTAGAGCTACACTTAAAATTTTAATAGGAGTTGGTAAATACAATACCAAAAAGATTTTAGTATTTATTTTTCCCACAGTGTGATCAGTTTTTAAATGTTTTACTAATCCAAAGAACATGATCTCATTATTGCTTTATTTGCATTTCCTTGAACATTAGAGAGGTGATTATCTTTTTACATATTTATGGGTATCAGCATCCACCTTCAAACCATCTGTTAATCTCTTCTGATCATTTTCTTGTTGAGTTGTATATGGGGGATATTAACCCTATGTCTTATTGAATGTGCTGCAAACCTTTTCCTCTAGTCTGTTAAAAAATATCTAGGTTTTTCTATTATGGTTTCTGTTTCCTGTCTTGCCTTAAGAGGGACTTTTCAGATTGTAGAACTTTTTGTATTTAAGAAAGATTATTTTGTGTTTTACTTTTAGATCGTTACCTCAGCTAAAATGTATACTTGCATGTGGTGTGAGGTAGGGGTCTGACCTTGTTTCCAGATGGTAAGCCATTTGCCCAAGTTCTGTTTATTATATAGGTAGACCTGATTTTAAATTTCCATTCTGCCCCTTATTAGCTGCATGATCTTGGGCAACTGGATAGCAATTGACACAGTCGACCACTTCCTCTTTCTCAAAATACTTATTTCCCTTAGCTTTTGTGATGTAAGACTGCCTTGATTTTCCTTCTGCTTCTCTGGCTGGTCTTTCTTCTCTCTTTTTTTCAGAGTAATTCTTCCCTCCTGGACTCTCACACCATATATTTTGTGCTGAGTGATCTTATCCACATAATGGCTTCAGCCACAGTCAAAATGCAGAGGATTCCTGTATTTCAATGTCTAGTCTGGAGCGCTCAGTTGAGTTCTGGATCTGTGTAGCCGCCTGGCCACTTGACGCCTCCACTTGGATGTCCCACAGGCACCTCCAATGCAAAATGACTCATGATCTTCTCCTCCACATCAGCACTCTCACAGGAGTTCCTGTCTAAGGGAATGGCATCACCATCTTCCCATTATAAAAGCCATACATTTGAGCATCATCCTTGACTAATTCCTGTTCCTTCCTTTGTTGTACCCAGCACCCAAAAGAATGCCCAGCACATGGTAGGTGCTCACTAAATAGCTACTTGATTGAATGGATATTCTACCCACCACCAAGTCATGACACTGTGATGAATTAGAACTCTTCTATTTACTTCCAGTCTCTGCACCCTGGTCCAGACACCGCCTCCTTTCACCTGGATTTTGCCCTGCCTCTTCAGTGACCTCCCAGGATGCACTCTGGCCTCTGTGAGGCCAAAGCTCTGCCCAGGTCTTTTCTGAAGGTCACCCTCAAAAATGAGTCACATTTTTCAGTGGCATCTCATGATTCCTAGAATGAGGCCCAAGATCCTCCCCATGGCCAACAGCACAGGCTGCCTACAGTGTGGGCTGACCCCATCCCAGCCTCACCTTGCTCACTCCCAAAAACCTTTTTCTGACTGCTGCAGCCACTGTCCCCTTCTTGCTGTCCTTGAACATGCTTTGACTACCCTGTCCACTTGGGGACTTCAGACACACCGGGTATAAGTTTTAAATAGAGGAACCTGGAACTAATTCAGAAACTTTGTACCTAAGCTTTAAGACAACAAAACACCAAGCCAGCCTTTTGTAAAAAGACAGGACTATTTACACATCAGATTCCTTTTTTAAATTTTTATTTTCTTTTTTTCCCTTTCTTTTGCCTGTTTTTTCGTTTGAGGCACAG